TTTACCTTTTAAATATGAAAATGAATCTTCTAAGCTGTGTCAAAGATGCATTCTGTTAAAGCCAATATGTCATATTTTAGGTTCAATACACATCAAAGTGAATGTATTCTACCAGTTTTGCTGTCTTCTTCCTGTTTGTTACAAAGTTCCAAAGTCTTGTATGGTTTTCTCCTCTTTACCTTTTTTTTATTTTTATTTTTGTGTGTTAAGGAATACCACTTTCTCTCTTCAGTGTTTAGTTTAATTATTTTTTAGTTTGCCATCAGTTAAGAATTCAAATTAATGAATAATGCTTATATGCACTTTAAAAATATGTATGTTTTTAGAAGGACACAATTCACAATGCTCATTCTAAGTAAGTATTATAAGCAGTGAAGAATGAACACAAGTTCTAGCAAGTGAAATTTCACAGTCAATAATATTAGTTTAGTAGAACTTCTGTTTATATGATGCTACTTTAAAGGAGCACATGCTATTCAACACATTCTACCCATGCCTGCAATTGGAACTAGAGTACTTTCTTTACACAAAAATTGCAATGTGTTTGATATACTTTAAATCCCAACCATCGGGACCTTTCAAATAGTCATTGTGCTGTAAGTTTTGTTTTAGTGTATAAAACTTTTCAGATACATACTTTCATATTTAGATTTAATATTTTAAGAACCAGACTTCTGAAAATTGTATACCTGCCTTTCAGATTAATTTTAGATTATGAATGATAATTACAGCCTAATATGTCTGCTCATTTTACTAGGATGGCTTCAAAGTGTTACAGTAAAACCAGTCTCAAGGTTTTTAATTTTGTGTTTTACATAGCATAAAAAATTGTAAGCTAATAAGAATAACTATGGAAATATGTATCTTTTCTGAGATACAAGAATGCATGTTGCTATGCTTCTAAAAATTCATGAAAGCATGATTACTTTGACTTATTTAAAAACATGGATATTTTTATTAGAATTTGGAGCCTGATTAGCGTCATTTAAGGGAACTAAAGTCTATCAGTTTCTGACTTGAATTTTTTTTTCTGAGAGGCATGTTTTTCAGTTATATATTCTCTTCCACCAATAAGCTAGCTGGTTAGATTGTTACAGTATAAGACTCATGTCAGAATTCGTAAAAGAATTTTAGGTAGAATGGAACACTGAATATGTAATTTAAAAAAATCCATCAGAATAAGATAAGCCATTTTAAAGACTTTTTTCTTATAATCCATTATTATTGGTAAATAATTTATTCAGAACAATGATTTAAATGAATATAGACACATTGTTTAAAGATCTGTAATATTCTGCTTTGTGATAAACTGTTTCAGGTACATCTTATGAAACACAAATTGGAGAATTCCTTGCAATTGATTTCAAGTTTAAAAGTAACATTTTATTTCAGTTTTTACAGTTAGCCAATAGCAAGAATAGTCAGGCTTACCTTTTTAATTCTAAAAACTACAATAGCCCTCTATATTTAAAGCAAAGCAGTAGAAACCATGGCAGCATCTTTAGTTACTTTTGAATTAGATTAGTATTTAAATCAGTAATTAAAACGAAATGAATAGCATCATCCATACTCTTTATCAGTAGATGACTTGAAAGTAACTTATTATTAGTCTGCAGGTTTACTTTGTTTAATTATAAATCCTTTTCAGTGTCTCAGTTTTGATCTATAGCCATCATAAATTATGATACAGCACATTTCTCATTGTAAAGAATGATTGTAGATAACTATGTTTTATAAATAGTTGATTTTACATTTTGGCTTTTGGCTATTACCATGTCCTTGTCAAGCTCTAGCAGTGGTTCTCAACCTTCCTAATGCTGTGACCCCCATGTTCTTCAGGTTGTGGTGACCCCCAGCCATAATGTTATTTCATTGCTACTTCATAACTGTAATTTTGGTACTGTCATGAATCATAATGTAAATATTTGACATGTAGGATATCTGATATGTGACCCCCATGGGAATCGGGACTCACAGGTTGACAGCTGCCTTCCTTTAGGATTATAATTGAGTCTAATTTTATTGAATTTATTGAACTTTTAGAATTTTAATGTACTCTAAGGAATAAAAAAATTCTTAAGTGTTTTTTAGCATTTTGAACAGGTATGAACATCATGTTTTTCAGATGTAGGGTCTGTCTGTCTTTCTGTGTTGTCTAGGCTTGTCTCCTGCCTTCCCCCTCTGAGTATTTGGGACAGCAGGTACATGCCATTATAGATCCTGGTTGACTCTTCCTGGCTCTTGTGTTTGAGAATGAATCTATTGTAGTCTATGCATGAACCACCACACTGAATTTATTTAGTGTTGGGGATTGAACTCAGGGGCTCATACCTTTTAGGCAAGCACTCTGCCAACTGAGCTATCACCCATCTCTACCTTCTAAAGTAGACTTTGATCTCAGTTTGATTCTTATCTAATTTTCAGAAAGTTCAAAATCCCTAAAATTTGTTCATTTGTATCTTTAAAGAATGTAAGGTAGAATTCTACTATAAAAATAAGAAATTAAAGTAATATGACTATGAAATCCCAGGTTAGATAGATTACTTAGTAAATTTGAAGGACATTTATCAGCTCAGAATAGCCCTGAATAGTCACATTTTACTTCTATTTTTTAAGAATATAAAATAGACTATGAATCTTATTTTAAAATACCCATGTTCTAATTTGAAATCTATTTAAATAATCTATTCCATGGCAGTAATTATTTTAAAATTTGTATTATTTGCCAGTATGTCCAACCAAGAAGATTTCACACCATCCTGGATAACTGTTGTCTGTCTTGACAAAACAGAACCGGAATGAATGATGCTTTAGTTATTCATTGGCCCCTCCCTCTCGTTGTTTTATAATTGGTTTTTCTTATTGACTTTCTCATGAGAGACCCAAGTAGTGCTGGAAAAACAATGTCAGCTTTGCAAAAACACAGAGTATGTTCAAGTTCTGGCTTTAATACTATATGAGGCTGGCGAGCTGGTTCAGCAACTAAGAGCACTGACTGCTGTTTCTTAGGATTGTGGTTCAATTCCCAGCACCAACATGATGGCTCACAAACTTCTTTAACTCCTGTGCCAAGGGATCCAATACCCATGTTTAGCCTCTGTGGGCAAGAGACTTGCATGCAGACAAAACACACATGCATACAAAAATTAATGAATTAATTAATTCTTAATATGTGGCTGAGCAAATTTAGTTAGGTTTCTTTTGGGTAAAATGCCAATAAAGATGAAGAAGATACATAATTAGGTTGTAGGGAGAATGAAGAGTGACAGAATATGTCCTTATATATTCATTGTTTTAAATATTAACTGTCGCTAATAACACTTGTTACCTTACTTCATTACAAATTTGAATTTTGGGTCATTGTTTGGTCAACAGTATACAACTTCACCTTCATTTGTTAAACTGAATTCCTTCATTGGATTCTGTTTCATTTATAACATAATCTGCATTTTATCTCTATTGGATTCTATTCTCCAAAGTTTCTTCTTTATTGATATACGTCAATAAACTCTGACAACTTTCTTAGATATATGAGGTTGGATTTTATGGTTTTTGGAAATCTCCTTTCATGTTCACTGTCTAGTTTGCTTGTCTGTCATTGTAATAAAGTATGATCAAAAGCAACTTGGGAATGGAAGAGTATAACATCATACTAGTTAGAATCCATCATCGAGAGAGTTCAGGGCAAGAGCTAAGACAGAAATCTGGAGCTAGGAACTGTAGCAGAGAGCGTGAAAGAACAGTGATTATTGACTTGCTCCCCATGGCTTGCTCGCTTGCTTTTCTTTTCTACCCTAGAACCATCTGCAAGGGTTGGCACCTTCCATAAATGTGTGATACTTTCCACACCAATCATTAATCAAGAAAATTCCCTCAGATGTGTTCACATGCCAGCCTATTGGAGGCATTTCCTCTATTGGTGTCCCTCTTTCTAGGTGACTCTAGTTATATCAGGTTAACAAAACTAGCCAGCACTTTCACAATACATTTTCTGTTTCCCCTAACATTCTATTAGTTTTGGTTTAAGCATATCCCAGGGGAGTAGAACTTATTTATGCTGCGTTGTGTTTGTGGGTGAGCAGTGGAGCTGAATTGTTCTGATAAAATTAGAAAAGCCACAGGAGTATTTTAGGGATATTGCAGATAGGATAGAGAGACATTTTGAATTGCAGAAAAATTACTAAGGGTCTGTATAGTTGTGTCTCTGAAACCTGCTCCATATTCAAATACTAAATCTCATGAAATTAACTATTTTGTTTATTAGATATCATTTTATTGGACTTGCTTACTCATTATTTTTTTCTCCATTTCTTTCATTTTGTTCCCCTGCTACCCTTGAAGTTAATAAAATGTGATACATGATTTTAAATAAAAATTGATAAAAGTGTTACATAAATTAATGAATTGCTTACATAAATTGTGATAATAATGTAGTGCTAGACATCCATTAGAAATTGCAATTTAGACACAAGGACAACACTCATGATAATTTAATAATTTATGTAATATAGTTATAGCTCTATATAAGTAGTATGTTTTCCTTGGATCACATTGAAAACAAGCCTAAGTGTAACACAATAGAATATTAGCAATGGTTTCTCTTACTAATATCATTATGAGTAATTTTCATTGGGTGTACTTTTGCATTTTGAATGTCCTTATTTAAGTATATTGTCCTTATTCAAAGTGTTCAACAAATGGTGTTATAAATATGAGATTTTACAAAAATGTTCAGATGAGCTTTTTGTTCTAAATTTTACAAAAAATGAATGTGACTCCACATCAAAATAAATGTTATAAATGCAGTCTAGAATTTTGAAGCATTGTTGGCATGGGGTTTTTTGTCATGTGTTTTGCTCTTTCTCACTGGTCCTCCAAGGTGTAGTAACAGACCCTGTAACCTATAGAAAGCTTGTTGATGTCTACAATGCTCATTTCATCATTTCATTCTGTCTAGCATTCCTTCCCAGTCATCGTTTTTCCTTTGGATTCTCATTTAGGTAATCAATCACTCTTGGTGACTACCTGCACTTTATGCAATGTATCAGTCCGTGTCTGAAACTAGACATCCTCTGCAGTCAGAAGAACAGGAAGTCGGCATTGACCCCTTGTCCAGCTATTCCAATAAGTCTGGAGGTAAGTCTTATGTGCAGATGCTCTTTGCATATGCTAGCAACAGAGGAACTTCACTAATTTCTGTCTATACTATAGGTGGAAGTCTTTCCATGAAGCTAATCAGAACAACTTTAAGAACATTTTGCTGAATATGTATAGAACATTCTTGATGCTAGTGAACACCAGAGAAAGTTCCCTTTGTTATTGAAGGTAGAAGACACATTAACCAAATGTTCAATACACTATAATTCTTAAAGAAAAGTTATATTCTAGACAATCCCTTTAATAGATAAAGTCTTTTTTGAAATTCAAAATGACATTTGTCAAACATGTTTTGAAGAATGAAAACCGTTGGTACTGACCTTTCAATTGATCTACCCCTTGTCCCCCTCCGCACACATATTAAATTGAGCTAAATTCTAGGGAGAAGTTTTTGGTAGTCTTTCAATTTTATAAATAATTGAAATTTGTGTCATATTCTTGTAGATATGTGCAATTAAATTATTAAGTTGTGGATTATTGAAAGATATGTAGTGTTGATGTTCTACTCTTTAAAATGTGTCAGAACTAGATATTCTATTATTTTTCCCTATTTACTTAATGGTATACCTTCTGAAAGACATGAGTTTATGAAAATTCTTGAAGCCTTATCCTGATTTCTGAGTAGTTCATTGAACACTTAATAAAATTCCTTGTTCAAGAAACTAATTGTAGTTTTTCACTCATGAAATGCATTTATCAAGATTATAAGATCTATTTCAAGCAAATTTGTTGAAATAATTCAAATAAAGTCATTTTTACCTGTATATTGATGTTAATATATGCAATGACATTTTGGTAATTTAAAAAAAATAACTGACCATTTTTAGGAAAAAATGGTCATTTCTATAGAACAAAAGCTCTTTATGATGTGTTTGTTTATGTATTCATTTATTTATTTATTATTTATTTGTGTGTGTGTGTGTGTGTGTGTGTGTGTGTGTGTGTGTGTGTGTGTGTGTGTGTGTGTGTGTATGTGTGTGTGTGACTCTTTAATGCCTTCTAAACCCTGTAAAAGTCATTGATATTTTTGCGGAATATAGCACCTTTCACCCTTCAAAATTGTTTTGTGATTTTATTTTTTGTTTGTTACATAAGGACCTATAAAGACTGCTGTTTAGATTTTGGTAATATGAAAATTAATTCTGATTATTGCAGTTGAAGTACCTTAATATGTTGTTAGAAAGCCTGAAAACTTTTCTAGTGATGTTTCTCTTAAATTTAATACCTGTAAGAAGTATTCATAATTCCATAAATGGTTTAAAAGTGAATATGTGTTTGTATTAGAAGTGTACAAAATAATTTTGCCAATAGATTTCAGAATGTATCTTATTTATATGCTTACTTGAGAAGATCATTTTATGTTGTGTTTTAAGTGAATATTTTTCTCTGGGCTATTTCACTAAATATTGAGTATTTTTTAAACCTGGTTAAAAACATTATAAATTAATTTTATCTTTTATTGTCTAAAGGAATGAGTAGTTACCTTTACTGAAAGGGAATTTCATTTATATCCTAGCCTAAGATTTCTGTGACATACCAAGTTATTAGGACTGAATTGATGTTTTAAAGTGCCATTAATTCATTTACCCCAAATGTTCATTAACAATGTAAATGTATGCTGATGTTCTATGAGACAAGGAAGTGACTAATGACTCTTCCAACTAACAACACTTAAAATGAATAGAAACTTTAGATAGCTAATCTTGAAGTAATCAAGACCCTCATTCAGCTTGGCATCCCTGTATGCTCTAAAACAGCTGTCAACTGTTAAAAATATATACAAAACACACATACATGAAGGCACAGAGGAAAGAAAGATATGTAAATATCTGTGTTTTCTAAGCCATAAAGGTTACTAACCATAGTGGGTTTTGTGTGTTGTATATGTAAACATTGTATATCAAGTACCTATTTGATCTTCTTAAGTTGTCATGCACACACACAAAAAATTATGTATTACATTTTCTTGAGGTTGTCATATTTACTTGAAGAATCATCACCTTTGTAGTTTATTTTAATTTGTATCTTGTATTGGAATTTCTGAAGTATTTTGAAGCTTTTTGTACATTTCTGCAATAGACTGTAGGGAATTTATGGCTATACAATGACTCCTTGTCTAAGCAGATAAACACCAGATTTGGAGGAATAGTTTTCCTGCCTGGGGTCATCTGCAATTAAAAGCAACCCTGTTAGACATTCCATTAGTAAAGAATTCTTCTGTTTTATCAAATCTGCATTCTACCATTTGTAAAGAAACAGTACTATTAAATGATTTTGGGAGTTCTTTTAAAATTAGGCAAGAGAATGGGATTAGAGAAAGAAAGCTACATATTTTATTTTCATTCGGGAGAAAAAGAGCTGTACCTATATCTGTGTGACATCTTAGAGCATATTTTCCATGTTAATTATACTTTTAACCTCTTTTTTTCTAAATAACAAACAGCATGGAAATATATATTCTTTGTGCCTGAGCATGTTTTTTTCATATGTTTAAATTACCACCTTAAATTCCAGAGTCTTTGCTCAAAGAGTAATAATTGGCCAGATACACATAATTCCACTGAAAATAATACATGAATTTTTTGGGGGGTGTTCATAATTATTTGTTCTTACCATCTGACTTTAAATGATAAATAAAATGAAAATAATTATTTTAACTGAGGCTGATGATCTCAAGATACAGGGGAATTTCATCTATTTATTAGTGTCATTAGGATTACTACTTGTTCCCCAAGTTTGTAACATGTAACACCTTAGACATGGTCGTGGTGAAAAAAGATTTTCCTTCCTTCCTTCCTTCCTTCCTTCCTTCCTTCCTTCCTTCCTTCCTTCCTCTCTCTCTCTGTCTCTCTCTGTCTCTCTCTCTCTGTGTCTGTCTCTGTCTGTCTGTCTGTCTGTCTCTCTCTCTCTCTCTCTCTCTCTCTCTCTCTCTCTCTCTCTTTCTTTCTTTCTTTCTTTCTTTCTTTCTTTCTTCCTTTCAGTTTTTTGGTATTTCAAGACGGGGTTTCTCCTGGAACTTCCTTTTTAGACCAGGCTGGTCTGGAACTCACAGACATCTGCCTGCCTCTGCCTCCTGAGTGTTGGGATTAAAGGAGTGCACCACCTGGTGACTTTTAAGAGTCAGTTTTTATATCCTGAAAATTCTATTAGAGTATTAATGACTTTGACCAAGATCACCACTATCTCACCAATATCTTTAAGCATATTAGTACTTACTATATTTTATTAAATGGTTTATTGTTTTAATACTTGTTTGATTATGTTCCTAGATAATCAGACATGTTGACATAATAGTAAATTAAAGCAATATTTAAGAAGTGAGTCAGGATCACAGAAACATAATATATATATATATATATATGTACATATAAATATATGTATACATACATACATACATACATACATATATCCCTGCCTTGATTGAAACTCACTGTGTAGTTCAAGGTGGGTAACTTTGAACTCACAGTGAGACATCTATCTGTCTCTTCCTCCTGAGTGTTGGCTTAAAGTGATGTTCTCCCACACCTGACTCATGTTTACTATCAAACAGAAAGTACTGTGGACCATATTAGCTTATTTATATAAAAATATTCATTGAAAATTTAGTATCTGGGGAAAGATTATTGAACAGTCAATTGATTTCTTTCACAAAATTCACATTTAAATATAGCATTTTAATTAATTGAGAATTTCATGCAATGTGTTTGATTATACTCATCCTCTCATGTTTCTTTCTAACTCCACTACTCAACCTCTCCAACCACTCCCAACTTTGTGTCCTCTTTTTTTTTTTTTTAAATAATACTTTGTTTCCAGTTTGTGTTGCTCATAAACTTGTGGATCTGAAGCCATCCACTGCAGACCCTTAAAGCAAAGGGGATCTCCCTCTCTCAGAAGCTAGCTTCGTTCATTAGGGTTGGGCTCCCATCACTTGGCAGAGCTCAGTGTTGACAGGCTTGGTCTTGTGCACCTCTCTACACTGAAACATTTATGCTGAATGATGGAAGCCAGACCCAGGAAGACAGTGGTCTTATGTTCTCCCTCATATATTTACATTTGTGTTTCTAACTTGGAAGAAACAGAAATTTCTAACCCAGTGAACCAGGGCCATTGGTGGGAGTGATGTTGAGGAAGAGGGTGTAATAGACTGTGGGCGGTATGAAAGGAAAGGGGAGAATAAAAGTGCAGGGTGATTTGCTATGTTGAGGCAAAGGAAAAACCTGCTACTTTGTGAACTTTAAGTATCATATTAAAGATTTTCATGGAGGTAACCTATAGGAGATGATGCTCCTCCCAGAAGCCAAGTGCAAAGTGTGGGATACCTCCCCTCAATTTGGGTGCCCCAGAGACCCCAAATATTACAGAGTATTGACAAACTGGTTTGGTTTGGTTTGGTTTGGTTGGTTGGTTGGGCTTCCTTGTGTAGTCCTGTCATAGAACTAGCTCCGTGTACCTTTTGGTTGTCCATCTGAAGTCACATTTTACTCTTAGATAGATAATGAAATATAATTACAGAAATAAAGGGGAAAAAGCAGTGCTAAAAATTAAAAAAGGGTAGTAATACAGTGAGTACTTAAAATTGTCAGGGAAGGCCTCTGAGAAAGGCAGCATTTGGTTGTATGTGAATTCCAGACAAGATACCAGGCATGTAAAGATGCTACCTGTGGGAGAATTTCCACATCTGTAAACAAAGTAGAGTTCATGCAAAGTAAGTTCCCAGGAAAGGATTGAACTTGTTGATAGTAACCAAAGGGAGCTTTCTATATCCTGGGCACTATGGTAACTATTAGCAAAATAGCATAGAATGGGCTAGATTAGTGAGGACTTGTAAAATCCTGGCCAAGAAATAAAGAATCATTTTTGTATAAACTGAGAATTATTTAATAATTATCTAACACACTGTTATGTCTGTGCATTCTATAAGTTCTTCTTGGGGGCCATATGTCGTTCTGACTTGATGCAATCATTAAGTGATGGTT